TTTCTTGCTTCTAGTTTGCGTCTCTGTTTGATTCTGATATGAGAGAAGTTAAGTCTTTTTCACTCATGCCACTCAGAAATAGAGACTAATTTACTGGTTTCATGAGCAACATAAAACACGTATACATGTCATCCGCGAAACATCAAACTTCTACTTTGATCAAGATAATACAATCCATGAGTTTCAAGTTTTTAAGTTTTCTTCAAGAGCTTTACCTTTTGCAGAAGGAATCCATCACACCGACTAAATGATGCATAACAATATCAACATCTTCCTCCTATAGAAAAGGGAAGAACAAAAATGATCTTTGCGAACAACTAGACAAGAAGATAACAACACAAAGGAAGAAATATCCACAAAAGGGATTTGTACAAAAGCAAACCTGCATTAGAGCTTGAAGCTCCCTCCTCAACCAGGCTTCAAGGCACCGGTTTGGCTGGAGAAACTTTTGCAGCTTCCAAAACCGTGAAACATCAAATACATCAGCCAAGAAACCTAGTTAAGACAACAAGGAGACAGAGAAAGTTGATTAAACACATTTGGTTCTACTGATAAATTGTCTTATCAGTATTGGATATTATGCGCAAGCGTGTTTTGATCATTAGTTTCTCGGTAATATAACATGGATGAAAGCTTTATATTCATAAGTTCCATCATAAAAAGGAACGACACTACAGGAGAATGAATACGTACAAACAAATGAACCATTCATAAAATGCAGAGAAGGGAAAAACCTGATTCGGTGTAGTAACATTGCAACCTGTATCTCTGTTCTTTTGTTAATACAAAACTGCAAAAAAGAAGATGAAATTAAAGGTAGACATCAAAATATTCTCAGAACTCAAGGAAAGCACAAGCTAACCTACCCATCTGGAATATTCCGGTTGATATAATGCCGGTCAAAAGAACACCCATCGTAGTTGTGGATGATGGAGAAATTCTCTGTCTGCATATTGTTATGGTCAAACAAGTTCTTCAAGGTGTTGTGAGCAGAAAAGAGTGTGCCAAGAAGTAGACCTTACAGAGAGGACATTTCACTGAGGAAAGTTGCTTAGAGGCCTTGCTTGAAACAACTTTGATCCATTGTTTGATACAATTGAAACAAAACTTGTCTGCAACACAACAGAAAAGCAAAACAAAAGACATGTTCTAAATCAGTTTATGGTCAACTTGTACGAATGTATCACCTAAACCACAAAAAAGTTTGAATCTTTGAATACATACTCAAAAAAGACTTCAAATTCTAGATGAAATCAAGGAATTATATATAACTTTGGCGCAGCATCTAATCACAAGTTTTAACCAAAAATATTGAAAGAGAGAAGAAGCGTACGGAAACAGGTATCAAGGTAGGAATCATGGAGGAATGGTCCAAGGCAAATAGGACATGGATCAAAATCGGATCCGTCGTCAATAGAACCGCTCCCGCCGGCGATCTCCTTCGCCGCCATACCAACTCAGGTTCTCTCCCAGTTTCCGCTTTTTTAGTGTTGCGACGTCGTTTTAACCAACACACCCATTATATCTTTCTTTTGCTGAAGAATGCTAAATAATCCTTAATAACTCTTTCAACATTCAAAATAAACCCAAACTAATTTAAAATGACGAATTAATCTCTTTGATGAGTTTGTTTGTTTTGCTTCCAGAATAAAAAGACATTGCCTTTGAATGAATTTCATGATAATAATATGAGAGAATATAGATGAAGAAGCACTACAAACCAATTCTCTCTCAGCTAGAGAATTGCAGATCAATGGTGGAGCTGAATCAACTCCATGGCCTGATGATCAAATCTTCAGTTATCAGAAACGTCATTCCTCTAAGCCGACTAATAGATTTCTGCACTACTTGTCCTGAGACTATGAATCTCAGCTACGCGAGATCAGTTTTCGAAAGTATCGATTGTCCAAGCGTGTATATATGGAACTCTATGATCAGAGGCTACTCAAATAGTCCAAACCCAGACAAAGCATTGATCTTTTACCAAGAAATGCTTCGAAAAGGTTATTCTCCGGATTACTTCACTTTTCCTTATGTGCTCAAGGCTTGTTCTGGTTTAAGGGATATTCAATTTGGGAGTTGTGTTCATGGGTTTGTTGTGAAAACTGGGTTTGAAGTGAATATGTATGTTTCTACTTGCTTGCTTCATATGTATATGTGTTGTGGAGAAGTGAATTGGGGTTTGAGGGTTTTTGAGGATATTCCAAAGTTGAACGTTGTTGCTTGGGGAAGTTTGATCTCTGGGTTTGTGAATAACAATCGGTTTAGTGATGCTATTGAAGCGTTTAGGGAGATGCAGAGTATTGGTGTGAAGCCAAATGAGACAATAATGGTGGATCTTCTGGTTGCTTGTGGTAGATGTAAGGACATTGCAGCTGGGAAATGGTTTCATGGGTTTCTTCAAGAAGTAGGCTTTGATCCATACTGTCAATCAAAATTTGAATTTAATGTGATCTTGGCTACAAGTCTCATTGATATGTATGCAAAATGTGGAGACATGAGAACTGCAAGGTATCTGTTCGATGGAATGCCTGAGAGAAACTTGGTTTCTTGGAACTCTATCATCACAGGGTATAGTCAGAACGGTGATGCAGAGGAAGCAATGTGTATGTTTTCGGACATGCTTGATTTGGGTATAGCTCCTGATAAAGTAACTTTTTTTAGTGTGATTAGAGCTTCGATGATTCAAGGATGTTCACAGTTGGGGCAAACGATTCACGCTTATGTATCGAAAACCGGCTTTGTGAAGGATGCTGCCATAGTTTGTGCACTTGTAAATATGTATGCTAAAACCGGTAATGCTGAGAGCGCGAAGAAAATGTTTGAAGATCTGGAGAAGAAAGATACAATAGCTTGGACCGTTGTGATCATTGGGTTAGCCAGTCACGGCCATGGGAATAAAGCATTGAGTATATTTCAGAGAATGCAAGAGGAAGGTAATGCTACACCAGATGGAATCACATATCTCGGGGTCTTATATGCATGCAGCCACATAGGTTTGGTCGAGGAAGGACAAAGATACTTTGCAGAAATGAGAGACCTTTACGGCTTAGAGCCAACGGTTGAACACTATGGATGTATGGTTGATATCTTGAGCCGTGCTGGTCGTTTTGAAGAGGCAGAGAGATTGGTAAAGACTATGCCAGTACAACCCACTGCTAATATATGGGGTGCATTGTTAAATGGTTGTGAGATACATGAAAATCTCGATCTCGCTGATCGGATAAGATCCATGGTTTCTGAATCAGAAGAACTCGGTAGTGGAATCTATGTTCTTCTATCTAATATTTACGCCAAAGCTGGCCGGTGGGCCGATGTTAAGCTAATTAGAGAATCCATGAAGAGCAAAAGGGTAGATAAACTTTTAGCTCATAGTTCTGTTGAAACAATGTTCTAATTCAGGTCCTTATTTTAAATTGTGAGGTTGTGATTTTCACCTCATTAACAACTAATTAAGATCACTTAAAAGAATTGTTTTGTTTGATTTTCTGAGAGAACAATAGTACTTTTGAATTAGTGTTTCTTTGGAATAAAAGAAAGTCTAAAACTGAAATACAAAAAGTCTTGGACTATGTTATCAAAACTAAAACAAGAACTCGAGCATCATCAAGAAACAGAGCCTGAGCCTAACCATATGAAAGGTTTTGAGCTGAAGCAGGTAAGTTTCTCCTCTCATCTGAATGCAACATTACATAGATACTGATCCATGGACATATATAGACCTAAAACAGTTTTAGAACAGAATGCATAATACAATGTACCTCATAGGGACTTGCAAGTTTATTTCTGTTTGTGTTTTTTTTTATTGATAAAATGTGAATTTATATTACCAAAATGGAACAAAGTTATATACAAAAGGCTCTGGGAGCTACCGTGACCAAAAAAAATTAAAAAGCCATACAAAAAACAGAAACTAAGCAAAGGGTTACTTAGAGGAAACTATGAGTGAGCAAACCATCGAGAAAGCAGACGACCACAACCTTTGCGAGACCGACGAGCTAGGAGAGTGTCCCTTATACTTGTGTCGATTGGAGAGAAGACAGTAGTAGAAGAGGCAGAGATGTTATCATGGACCCTTATATTTCTTTCTTTCCACAGTAAAAATATGTTCCTTCAACCAAACAAGCTTCAGGTTTAGAACCTTATTCCACACAAGAAGATTCCTGAGACCTAATCCTCCCTCAGATTCCTTTTCCCATGAAACTTTTGCGTTTGTCATCTTGGTAATATCTCCAGACCAAAGGAAACTATTACACCAAGGCTTTGATGCATCCTTTAGGCAAAGCAAAGGCAGACATCCAAAAGTTGACCAATCCATAAATTACAGAAGAGATCAGTTGCAGCCTTCCAGAGAAAGAGAGACACTTAACTGTCCAGCTATTGAATCTTGCAGAGACCTTATCCGTTAGAGGAGAATAATCTGATTTCTTCAATTTCCTATCAAGGAGAGGCAGTCCAAGGTAGAGTACCGGATTGGAAACCAAACGTCTTCATAGTATCAGACTCATGCTGACTCAATCCAGCATGGAACAACTCTGTTTTCTCCTTGTTCATTCTCAAGCCAGACAGACGTTGAAAGGAGTCCAAGCCTCCAAGGTGCAATTAATAGCCGGTAAAGAAGAATCTTTCCCATCAAAGAAAGGCATTATTTGTGAACAAAAGTGTAGAGGACACGTGAACAAAAGGAGTCTTTGTATACATGAGAAAGTAAGGCTAAGAGCCAAAACAGGATTGAGATTATTTGTCAATAGCAAAAATGGAAAGAACAAGATAATATTTCTTCTTTCAATTATATAAATTATATCCATTCAGATTCTATTGTTAAGGTTAAATCAAAATATATAAGTGAGATTAAGTTCCCATCACCATCATCACTATCTGTTACCGTTGTCATTAATTTTTATTACCGTTGAGATTAATTTCCTTTTTTTGCAGTCCAAATAAATTAAAAGGAAACAACCAAAATTATCGAAAAAAGGAAATAATAAAACTCTTCAAAAAACAAAAGGAAACAAGCGACCCTTTTCCTTTTTTTTTTTTCTGAAGAACTGTCCTTATAAATAGTCGTCTCTCCGAAAAATCAAAATCATTCATTCTTCTTCTTCAAAAGTAAAATCATTCATTCTCCTTAATAATCTTTCTTCTTTTCTTTTTTGATATGTGTCGAACAAAATTTGCCAATGTTTGATCGCCAATCTCGTGAAGCCGATGATCCATGTAGAGCCACTCTCTGCAACTAATTAATCTGCCTTGTTCCTTGAGAAGAAGATCGATCTCAACTATCGTTGCCCATCTCGGAACCTTATCTGTAAGATTGATCGCCATTCTCTTTTGTGCATTCGATATCCCGTGAGTCAAACCCTAATCCCATATGGATCATTCACCGCCTGCTAATGATGCGAGGAAGAAGGCGGGAAAAGAGGGACAGTGAAAGCGAAGAGCATGTCGCAGCTTTGGAGTTTCGATGGCCTGACTGTTGAAGTTGAGTTCCTTGATTTAACCTGCACAAAGAAAATTAAAATCGATGAGGACAAGAAGTAGAAGAAGCAAAGGCTCGTGATTGAAGGATGTCGAAGAAGAGGAAGAGAGAACGCAGAGAACAAGGAAGGAAGTTGGACTTCAAGTGTTTTGGTCTTAATAAAAATATTGGGCTACGTTTTGGTTAAGGCCCAAGGAAAACGATGAATCTGAGTCACCAAATCCAGGTACGTTGCTTTCTCAATTATCTAAATTTTTAAATATAAAAAGTATTTTTTAAAAGAAGGTTTAAATTTAAGTGTTAATTTTTAATTCCGTTAAAAACCAACCGAACTTTGCATCCGGTTAGAATCTCTTTAGATCGGTTAGAGGTGTTAAGTTCGATTTGTTTACACGTAACTAAATTTTAACATTTATTTTTAGATTTTCTTTTTAATTAAAAACGTTTTCAACTTTAATTTCCGGTTTTATAACTAAATTTTACTATTTTTTAAAAATAAATTTTTTGTTTAAAACAATTTTTAAGGGTTTTTTTATTATTTAAACTAGTATTTTAAATAAATATTTTTGAGCTTATATAAATTTTTAAATATAAAAAGTATTTTTTAAAAAAAAAGATTTAAATTTAAGTGTTAATTTTTGATTACGTTACAAAACCAATCGAACTTAGCATCCGGTTAGAATCTCTTTAGATCGGTTAGAGGTGTTAAGTTCTTTTCGTTTACTCGTAATTAAATTTTAACATTTACTTTTAGATTTTCTTTTTAATTAAAAACGTTTTCAACTTTAATTTCCGGTTTGATAATTAAATTTTTAAAAATAATTTTTTTTTGTTCAAACAAAATTTTAAGGGTTTTTTCATTATTTAAACTAGTATTGTAAATAAATATTTTTGAGCTTATCTAAATTTTAAAGTATAAAAATTATTTTTTTAAAAAGAAAGTTTAAATTTAAGTGTTAATTTTCAATTACGTTGAAAACCAACCGAACTTAGCATCCGGTTAGAATCTCTTTAGATCGGTTAGAGGTGTTAAGTTCGATTTGTTTACATGTAACTAAATTTTAACATTTACTTTTAGATTTTCTTTTTAATTAAAAACGTTTTCAACTTTCATTTCCGGTTTTATAACTTTTTTGTTTAAAACAAAATTGTAAGGGTTTTTTATTATTTAAACTAGTATTTTAAATAAATATTTTTGAGCTTATCTAAATTTTATGCATAAAAAGTATTTTTTTTAAAAGAAGATTTAAATTTAAGTGTTAATTTTGAATTATGTTGAAAATCAACCGAACTAAGCATCCGGTTAGAATCTATTTAGCTTGGTTAGACGTGTTAAGTTCGATTTGTTTACACTTAATTAAATTTTAATATTTACTTTTAGATTTTATTTTTAACTAAAAATGTTTTCAACTTTAATATTAGGTTTTATAACTATGTTTTATGATGTTTCTGAAATAATGTTTTTCTTTTTTTTTCGGATTTAAAACAAGTGTTTTTTTTTTAACAACTAGTAGTTTAAATAAACAAAGATACTTTGCAGAAATGAGAGATCTTTACGGCTTAGAACCAACAGTTAAAGACTATATGTATGGTTGATATCTTGAGCCGTGCTGGTCGTTTTGAAGAGGCAGAGAGATTGGTGAAGATTCTCCCGGTACAACCCAATGCTAATATATATGGGGTGCATTGTTAAATACTTAAAATGGTTGTGAGAAACATGAAAATCTCGATCTCGCTGATCGGATAAGATCCACGGTTTCTGAATCTGAAGAACGTAGCAGAATCTATGTTCGGATAAGATCCACGGTTTCTGAATCTGAAGAACGTAGCAGAATCTATGTTCTTGATGGGCGGATGTTAGACTAGTTAGAGAGTCCATGAAGAGCAAAAGGGTAGATAAACTTTTAAGCCATAGTTCTGTTGAAACAATGTTCTAATCCAGGGTCCTGCTTGACCTCATTATAAACTTTGTTATGAATTAAACTTTGTTATGAATTGGGAGGTTGTGATTTTCACCTCATTAACAGTTCCAAGAGAACAATAATACTTTTGAATTAGTTTTTCTGTCGAATAAAAAGAAAAGTCTGAAAACTTTTCAGAAAACTGAAATACAAAAAGTCTTGGACTATGTTTGATGTTTTATTCAATCTTCATCATCTGTATGCATCTGGTAAACTGTAACCAGGCATGACTATCTTGTCAGCAAACATCTTCCCGGTCTTGGGCATGACATGCCAGTGTAATGTCAAGTTGAATTCTTTTCCCCGAAGATTCTGTCCCTGAAAAGTCCCAAATGATGATCAGTTCCCGTTTCTACAGAAGTAAAAACGAATAAGACTTGGTGGGATTCTTTGCTGTACCTGATCGATGAAACGATACTTGTTTGAGACTTGAATCCGGAATTTGGCATGTTCCTTGGCAGGGATAATCGCATCCCATAAAGAAACCTGCAAACGAAGGTCAATATTCATTGGTTATTAACTGAAAGAGTTCCAATCTTATGCCAATCCTGAGAAGGAGCCATTGCATTCAGCTGTCATACCTGATTCAGGGAATTCTTCGGGGTTTCATACTCCGCTGCTACGAAAACAAAAACCTGCAAACATTTTCGGTTTATGTCAGCATTTTATCCACCAGGAGCAGTCCATTTTCAAGTGGCTTCAGGTAATAGCAAAAGACAAGGACTGGTAAGTATTTTAAGATGTTAAACCTGTTTGGTGTTCCAAGTAAATAGTGACTGCAAGTCTGCTGATATATCCAATGTCAAGCTGACCTGCATGACAATTTGAATATAAGCAACATCAAGCAATCGATAGAGGGAACTCGGTAAAGAAGAGAAAGCTACAGATAAACTTAAGGTTATTCAGTGACCACAAATCAACAATCTGAGAGTAGTCTTAAACACTAGTATCACCGGTGTCTTATGTTAATCAAATTCGAAAGCTTTGAGATGAATTACTATACTTAAGAAAGCAAGCAACTTGAGCAATTCATAAACGTATATAATAAAGAAAAACATTGGACAAAGGTCGAAACAATGAAAATGTTACCTCATCATTTCCATGAGATTGCTTCTTAAACCGATTAATATTAAGTATCTGCAATCACAACACACCCAAATTAAAACTCAGGCTTTTCCATGATTCCAAAATCTACAGAAACAACTTAACACATTTACATTATAATTCCCAAAATCAAAACAAACGAAGATCAATTCGCTAGACACAGAAACAACTTAATCCGTCACAAATCAATCCATTCATACGCAGATCCACCACATAAAAAACCAAACGTAACCAATTTCACGTACCTGGATCTCAGCAGAGGGATTTTGGTTGCTGAATTTGTCCGAGAAAGAAGCGATTGCGCAAATGAATGCAAGCGCAGTGACTGCGAAAGTGAGCAGAGCATTTGCTCTGTAACCAAAAGTATGCATCTTTAAGTCCCTTTCCCTTTACGATTACTCCTTAGGGCTTTTCGATCACCGGGATCTTATCGCGATCCCGTCTTCGTTACAAAATTTGTCTTGTGTGCGGAGGAAGAAGAAGACGAAGACGAGCGTTTTTTTTCTTTTAAGTATCCATTAATTTCTCTCTTTAGTGATAGTCTCTGTAATGTGATTGGTCAAGACACGTATGATCCCCCGGTGGGGCACCGGGTGCTATCTAAACCGGAATACCGGTTTAAGAATAAATCTATTGAGATTAAACCGGGATTAGTCTATTACAAGGCAAAGGCATGCCACTCTTTCAGGCCCAATAGATTATACTGTTATAAACCACATGTTGGATGGACTCCATAACCGTGGACCTTATGCATATTCTAGAAGGCCCATGTCCATGTCCTAGAAGGCCCATGCCCATGTTCTTGAAGATTCTCCTTATGACGGCCTATATTGTACTTAGTGGGCTTTTGGGCTTTAGGGTTTACTAGCCCAATGGGGATTTGTCTCCCCTCATCATGTATATATATGTATCGAAATCTCATTCATTAATCAATAGAACAACACAGTTTACAACACGTTATCAGCACGACTTGCTCTTAACGAAAACCCTAAAACCCTAACCCTAAAAATCGTGGCACTGTTCTGCGGAGGAAGAAGAAGAAGAAGAAGACGAAGACGAGCGTTTCTTTTTTTTCTTTAAGTATCCATTAATTTCTCTCTTTAGTGATAGTCTCTGTAATGTGATTGGTCAAGACACGTATGATCCCCCGGTGGGGCACCGGGTGCTATCTAAACCGGAATACCGGTTTAAGAATTAATCTTTTGAGATTAAACCGGGATTAGTCTATTACAAGGCAAAGGCAAGCCACTCTTTCAGGCCCAATATTAATTGTGCTACTCTAAAAAAGCCCATCGGCAAAGGAGTGGTAAAATGAAAACATTGTCTACATTGTAGTGTATTGGCCAAAATATAAATTCAAGTTTCGATCAGGGGACACAACAGTTTTTAGTGAAACAACTGGAGTGATTTCTCGAATCATACACTAGTTTGACCTTTTTAAAATTACTGGGTCGAACACAATGGATAGTTCTCAAAGTTTTATCCACACTTTTTTGGATTATTTTTTTTCCGAAACATCATAATCAACACATGAGTCTCCAGGTTGGTACTTTATGGGTCAAATTTAATATGGTGTGATCACACAATAGTAGTGGCACACTATACAAGTTGATTATCAAAATGATAATGCTGTTATACCTACTATATAGGCGGCTGCAAAATCCTTTTCACACTAATAAAAACACTACATATCTTCTACTTTGTATGTAACCAATAACCATCCTTTTTCCGAAATCGAGATATTATAAACATCATTCCACTAACAAAATTAAAGCATATTTTGTTTCCAATCCTCCAAAGAAAAAAAGATAAGGACATCCCCAAAAAATAGAAACATAAGACTAAGACAAACATTCATGTCCATATTCTAATTAACATTACATAAGATGATCACATAATACTACAACTACCTGGATTCTCATCGCTGAACATATGAGTGTAAGAATCCGAGTGAGGAGGCGGCATCGGTGGCGGATGAGCATAATTAACTGCAGGATAAGGCCTAGCGTACATCATCGGATGGTACATGTCTCCACCGTGACCACCGCCATAGCCTCCATGAGCTGCAGCTTGTTGTTGTTGTTGCTGCTGGTTCATCATCATTTGCATATATTGTTGTTGGTTCATTTGATGACTTGCCTGAGGTGGCCCTGGATAATATCCTCCTCCTCCACTCATCGGCAAGCCTTGAACCGCTTGGTAAGAGCCGCCTTGGCCACCCATTGGACCCATCGGACCACCTGGACCCATCATACCCATCGGACCACCTGGACCCATCGGACCACCTGGACCCATCGGACCACCTTGACCCATTGGACCACCTGGACCCATTGGGCCACCAATACCTTTTGCGCTATGATTATGATTGCCCTTGTTACCTCCTCCTCCTCCTCCTTTACTACTGTGTTTCATGAGCTCATCAATATCAAAACCTCCATGGGCTCCTCCTTTGGACCCACCTCCACCTTTTTTAGGCCCACTATCATAATGCTGAACTCCTCCTCCCCCACCAAGAGATTTGACCTTATTACCCCCATGACCTTCTTTCTTCCCAGCGCCCTTCTTCTCATCTCCTTTTCCACTTTTACCCTTTTTGAAAAACCCTAGAAGGCCCCACCCACTACTTTTGGCATCTGTTTCCC